ACAATTGGGGTTAAATTGTCTTGAAGTTGGGTTTGGGTTAGGCTAGCAATGACATTGAACCCAATTGATTGATCAATTTTGTGTGGACGATTGTTATGAGAGGTTTATAAAAGATTTGGAGTGATTTTGAATTGAATTAGAATGTCAATTTAGGGGAATATGGACATACAGTCAATTTGGGGATTTTGGGTTTGGGATGAAATTGAATGAAATTGAAACTTGACCAAGGTCAATTGAGGGTTCAATTTGGTGTGTGGAGATGTTTCAAAGAGTTTATGATGCATAATTGGGGCAATTCATAATTGGGGCTTTATGATGCATAATTGGGGCAATTGGAAAGATTTGGGGGTTCACTTGAGTGGGATTTTGGTTTTAGGCTAAGTTGGGTCTTTTTTATTTGGGTTGAAATTGGACTCAAATGTGGGTCAATTGGACTTGGATTTGGTTTGAATTGAATTGAAATTGGGGGGATTGGGGTCAAATTGATGGGCATTTAGGGTGAATTTGGGGAAATTTAGTCTTTAAGAGCAATTTGGGGCTTCTGATCAAAGTTGGTCAAATTGATCAAATTGGGTTTAATTGAAGGGTCCAAATTTATTTTAGTGGCATTTGAGATGTTTTTGAGGGTTTTAGGAAAGTTTGGGTCACCAAATGTATTTTTATAATTTTGGCAAACTTAGGAGTATTTTGGTCATTTTGGCAATTTTGGGAGGTTTTGGGCAATTTGGGTAATTTCGAATGGTTTGAGATGATTTTTGGACAAACTTGGGTAGTTTAGGTAATTTTGGGAATTTTGGTCAAATTGTTTGGGGGTGTTTTGGTAAATTTGGTAGATTTGGGGGCAAAAGGCTAAGTTTGGTATTTTGGTGAAAGTGGGGTGCCAATCACCCTATTTGAGCCATGGACCAATGAAATCTCCATTTGGGTCCTCTATGTACTGGTTTTGACTAGACCCTAGCCTAAGGCTAGTGGGTCTAGGGGACCATCTACATGAGTCTCCCAAAAAATCAAGGGATCAAAGTCAACAAACTTGGGTTTAAGGTTGTGAGTGAATGTGAGTGAAAGAAAGTGTAAGTGAGTGAACTAGCTCCAGACCAACATCCAGGGCCAACTTTAAGGCCAAGAAGTCCTATGGGGACTCCCCTTGAGCTTCATCATACTGACTCCACCTACCAAGTGCTAGAGGTCAGGACCAATATGGGGAACTTCAAGTTGAGCAAAGAAAAGTTTAGAATTTCTAATAGTGAGGGAAAGTCTTATGGCTAGACCTTAGGCTACTTAAGAGGAAAGAGCTAGACCTCAATCAAAACTGAGGTCAACACCTATGGCTATTCACCAGAAACCTATCCAATCTTTCCCAGATTTTGCCTCTTCTCAAAGTGAAATTAAGGCCCTGAAAACCTATATCATGAAGAAAAGCTTCCTGAATATCATCAGTAAACGTGGTCATCTTGGGGATGTCAGGAGATCTACCAGCCAATTTTTTAGTGGGAGATGAGATATAGTTGAAATCCCCTCCCCCTCCCTCCTCAATTCAGGTAGAAGTCATAGAGAGACCAATGCATGCCAACTCCTTCCAAAGCTCAGCTCTAGCCTCTTTGGTGCAACCAGCATAGACAAAGGCAATAAAACCAGTATATCCATCAATATAAAAATCAAAATGCACAAAGTGAGGATGGTCCAGGAGAACTGAACAAGTTATTTCTTTCCTACAGAAAATCTAAATCTTATTGTTAGAGTTAACATAGAAATTGAAACCACATAACTTTTTTGTGATTTTTTGAGAGTTGATAGAGGGAATTGGCTCAAGCACAACATTACACCAAGGTTTATGTTATCTATTTAGGTGGAGGATTCCATTAAAACAATTAGGATGAGCAATCCCCATAATGTTCCAACAAAGGAAATTAATAATTTTAAAGTGATTTTGCTCTACCCATGGTCAATTTAAAGGGAGACTCACCCAAAAAATGTGAACTTCTGCCAGTAGCTATAAAATTGTCATCTTGTAAATATTTAAGCTCCAAGATGCCTTTCTTTTTCTTCCTAGCTTTCTGAACCTGCCATGCTTCTAAAATTAATTGAAGGTCCTGGATGTTTTGGGGTTTTCTATAGGAGTCAGGGGAAGATAGTGTGGTACACTGTTAAGTCAAAATAGGAGCTTGCTCTAAAACAGCAGTGGGAAGCCCAGGATCAACAACCAGGTGAAAATGGGTGTGCTCTGCATCCCCCCATCATATAAGAAATAACCAATGGTATCTCAGCAAGGGGGTGGGGGGGACAGGAATTTGAGGACCCCCAGCTTCAAAAGAGCCCTCAAGCCTAACATTATCCAAGCTCTGAGCAACAAAGGGAGCCATCTTCTTGTCTATTAACAAAGGGGCTCCTCCACAGGACACAAAGGAGCAGCAGCAGGAGCAACACTAGGGCAAGAGGGTTAGTTCTAAGTTCAGGATGACTTTTGAAGCACTTGTCCTGAGTATGACCAAACATTTGACAATTTCCACAGTAATATGGTCGATATTCCATGATCACAGGCTGTTAATGCCCATTTTGGGCAGAACCAATCCATATTTCATGGATATCGGACAAGGTAATATCTCATTCAATCAAGATTCTTGCAACAGATGGCCTAGTGAGATTGAATGTAAAAAAATCTAGTTTCATGGGTCGTCCAAGTGGGCTCCCCAGATAGAAAAGGAATTTAAAATTAAAGAAATGGAGTTTAAGGCCATCGAATTTATACCAAATGGGAACAATTGGGGGCTCTTGAGCTGGGTCAAAAATCTGGTGACCACTTAAGCAACTTCATTTAAGTACCCTCAAACCTGATGTAATTTTTGGAAAGAATCTTTGCATAATTTTCCTCTTTTTAAATAAATCATGACATGTCTCCCATCAAAATATCCAATTTTCCAGTTTCCCACAAGTTTAAAATCTTTAAAGCATTTCCTAATAAGTACCAACTTAGGATGTCCAAAATGGAATTTTCCCACAAGGGTAAATTTAAAAGGCTTGGCCAATTCATTAACTTCAATTTCAGTAATAAATATAGTAAGTTTCCTCCTTTTCTTCCCAGCTTTAAATGGGCAGTTACCCCGACCATCAAGGGTATCATGATAGTGTTGTGGAAAGACAAATTTATCAGTAGTGAAAGATTGTTTTGAGCTACCAATGGCCTCAGCATAAGTGACTTTCCTCCGTGCAGTAGCTCCAATATCTATTTTAACACAAGCTGAAATCCTTAATCATTAGTTTTATTGGTTAAACATAAGGGTTTGTTCTATGAGAAACTTAAACCACAAAAATAAAAATAAACTTATCTTGATCGACGATCACATGCACCATTCATGGAAAATCTATGGTATATCACTCCACCTTCCAAAGAATATCATTAAATGTTTGTCTTCTATCATATAGATAGCACATTCATTTTCCCATAATGAGGCACTTTTGAAGGCAATGGATTTGTAGTGACTCCACTAATGAACCTTGGCCATCATAATTAAAATAAAACATGATTCTTCATATCATTCAGAATAAATTATGGGCATATCTTTAATCTTCCTTCCAATATTCACATATGAAATTTATTTTTTGTCCTTCAAAATAGTACCATCATTTTACATCATAAACTATTCATGGATTTATAACACCTGAAACCCTACTACAAGATTAGACAAACTAATAGCACTAAATGAAGTGACCGACTATTTAATAAAAAAATTACAAATAATATCACTTTTGGCAAACTTTCTAACACACAAAAACAATTATGATGGTAGTCCCCCAGTGATTCCTATTGATAATGGTAAAAGAAAAGCTCAATAGCCTCATAGCAATTGACATATTACTAACCTTCATTGACCCATTATCATAGAGAAAGTGCAATAATCACTCTTCATTCTAATAATAGCTAGTTGATAGCCACTCAAACCTACAAATAGATCAAAAGAACCTTCTTAGATCATTATTTGTTTGTTTGTGGGTAATATCAGAACCCAATTTGGTAAAAAGGATAAGATAAGAAAATGCAAAATTAAATAGAGAAGAGCTTAAAAAGAATAGGAATAAAAAACACTATAAGCTCAATGGAATAGTAAATTTGGGCTTCAGTACACAAGATAGCATAATCTCGGCTCTCCATGTGACCCCCTATTTAAGGATGAATATGCTTTTAAGTGTTTCAAGAAATAATAAAAATGAGCTATGTACATGAGAAAAGATGAGAAAAGCCAATCGATTGCTCACTATAAAATACAAAAAAGAGTATAGCTTGATAACTTAGACTAGAGTTGGGTCGACAATTAGAAAGAGAGTAGTTGATTCACTTGGTGGAAATCATCAAATAGATCTTTGGATTGGGAGACTAAACTTGAATTGTTTGAAAAGCATGCTGCAAATCAAGAAAAATCTCCATGAGCAAGGCAATGGAATCTTGCATGAACTTAAGTGGCAAGTTAGCCTCGGACCCTGCTAGGGATTCCAACCAAAGCTAGGCATGGCAAGTCCTTCCTAAACATAGCAGGCAGGTCTATCTTCAGTTCTTCATGGTTGGGCAAGTTTACCTTACCATCTAGGGTATAGACACACCATGTCCATAAGTCACATGTCTTCATAGCGACTACTGAATGGACACATCTTGGTTTATGCAAATGCCAATATGGAGATGATTCATACGAAGTCATTACATGAAGAAGTAACTAAGGAATTCAAAAACTGAACAACCCCCCCAAAAAAAAAAACTCAACCAAACAGCCAGTGGGTAAGCACAGCTTCTTACTCTTCATAGCTATGGCATCAAACTTTCAATCCAACTTCTACAAAAAAAGGCCAGTTTAGCATATAAAGTAAATTAAGGCATAGGATAATGTAGGCAGAACAATCAGATCAACCTAACCCAAAAATGAAAAATATGATCAAACTGACAGCAACCATTCAAATCCACCAGATAAAACTACAAAAAACAGCGTTAAAAATGGGTTAACAAGTGGATTTACCGAGTGCATTGGAGCAGCGAATGAACTTGAAACCCTCGTTTGCAGGTCCTGCAGGAAATGAGCAACCATGGGATCCTTGGAGTTTGGAACGAGTACCTCCATGGCAGTAATCACCGCCTTAATGTGCTCCAGATTGATCACAATCGCCCGCTCTCTCCCAAGGATAGTAGATGGGTAGGATAACTGGGGATCCAGAACACGCAGGTCGCGTGCTGGAAGCCCCGTTCGCCGCATCATTAAATGTTTCCCAGCCTCCTCAAGATAGGGCTGCCTCGATTCTGATACCACCAGCCACGACCGGATTCCCGGAGTCAACTTCCGCCGCCCGCCAGCGGAGTGTTGAGGAGTCGGTGTAGCCCGTAGGAGGAATTCCTCATCCATTGCCATGTTCGGCGACCACATCACTAATCCCGCTATAGGTTTCTCCGTCGCTTTTTCCCGCTTTTTATCGTTTTTATGAGAGGCAACAGTTCAGTGCCATCCGTGCGATAAATAACTAATACCATTCGGAATGGAAAACTAGAGGAAACCGGCCAAATCATCTTTTTTATTTTTCTCATATATATATATATAT